ACTCTTAAAACACTTACCAAATACATGTTTGGAAATCCTTCTATCAATATTTGATGAAATCTGGACATCATCATGGCATGATGCTATACTTGTTCCCATTCAAAAACCTGGACGGGATCATACTGATCCCTTTAATTACAGACCCATTTCATTGACTAGTTGCGTTTGCAAAACCATGGAACGCATGGTTAACAATAGATTAGTATGGTACCTGGAATCTAACAATTTAATTACAAATATTCAGTGTGGATTTCGGAAAAATCGAAATACTGTTGACCATTTAGTCCGGTTAGAGTCATTCGTTAAAAATGCAATAATAAACAACCAACATGCAGATTTCGAAAAAGCATACGAAACACGGTGTTTCAAAAGAGTTTTGGATTGCGAGGCCGTTTGCCTCAGTTTATATCCAAGTTTTTAACAGACAGACAATTTCGACCCTGTCTGATCATTAAAATCAGGATCAGGGTGTCCCATAAGGCAGTATTCTGTCTGTCATTTTGTTTAGTATTAAAAAAAGTAGCCTTTCCAAAGTCTTGAATGATTCCATTGATGGATCATTATTCGTAGATGATTTTAACATTTCATGTCGTGGTAAGTATATGAATACTGTCGAAAGGCAGCTGCAACTATGTTTAAATATAATTCATAAATGGTTGTTAGAAATTGTTTTTAAATTTTTAAACTCAATAACTGATTGTATCCAATTTTGTAGAAAATACAAACCTCACAGAGACCAAGAGCTAGTATTAGATGACAATCCGATTAAAGTTGTAAAGGAGGCAAAGTGTTTGGGCATCATTTTCGATCACCATTTGACCGTCTTACCCCACATGAAATATTTGAAAAATAAATGCCTGATGGCCCTTGACTTGTTGAAAGTCTTTTTAAATTCCAAGTGGGGAGGGGATCAGAAATCCCTACTCCAACTCTACAGAGCCCTTACGCGTTCCAAATTGGATTATGGATCCATCATTTATGGTGGACCCTGTAAAAGTAATTTAACAATCTACCACTAGACCACGGAGGCGGTTATATACACAAAGAAAAAAGTTAAGTACACCCTAAAATATTTTATTATTGTCCCAATATTCTAAAAAGTCATGAACCTCACAACCAAAATTAGTATGTATTCTATCTTTGATCGTTGACGTTGGTACCTCAATACCTAATACCTAGACCATTGTTAAAATAAGGTGATTGCAAACGTCGGGTTTCTAAATGTATTTAGTATGTTTTCAATGTAGACATTATGTTATTGTGAATACTTCTCTTGGTGTTGTAATTATTCAACATCTGAAGATATCAGAGGTACATGTAGGATGGTTTTCGTGTCATATTTGCAATAACAATATTCCTCAATACTTTACATGCATTCCATGTGAAAGTCCAAAGTCCAAAGTTCACATAACAGTCAATAACATTAGTGGGTGCAATAATACATATCATTTTATTTCTCTCTCAATAAGCATTTTCATCGAATCTACTGATGATTTTGGTTTATTTGTTAGTAGTGAGCTCACTGTAGGCAAACGTGGCAGTAGGTTTATAAATATGAGGAAGACCAGCATCTGACATGTTGCTTTCTCGGTTAATTTCAGATGACATTTGCTTTCCCGCAACAGTAACTGATATTTATTCATTTGTTTATTTGAAACAGCACTTAGCTACGTTCGACCTGTATGACGACGGCCTGTAAATAATCGAGTATGCGCCATACTAAACCAGTGCTTGATATCATGAACAATCCTCATGGTAGACGTCACAAGCATGTGAATGGAAGATATGGAAAAGCATAATTCGGTGAATCATGCTTGTCGTAAGCGGAGGCTAAATGGATCTGGTCAGTCTTGGTGACTCGGTTGGTTGCGTGGCGTTGTACCATGAGTGTGGGACGCTGCCCAAAACATGAATCAAAGGTTTGTGGCCAATGCATACTAGTACGTGCCGCTCATCTTCCTTATTAACCTAAGATGCGATCCTTGATTTTTCCACCACAAGGGATAACTATTATAGTGTAAAGGACCTTTTAGTCATGTCAATTCATTTAAGGGGGGCACGGGTGGCCAAGTCGTCTAAGGCGCCGCGATTCGCTGTGCAGAGTTGCGTCCCTTGGGCACGCCAGAAATCTATGATTGTGGGTTCGAATCCCGGTTCGCCATAATTATGTTTCTAGGTTTGTCAGCACCATACCCGTGCTCGTGGGTTTCACCTAAGTGGTAAACGTCTGAGACCTGCATCACTTCGGGCTTTCCTCCCAAATTAAGCTGACACGCCGTGATATACCTGGAATAATGTTAAAAGCGGCGTTAAACTGAACTCACTCACTCCCTCAATTCATTTAATATTGTGCTTTGTAAAAGAAATAGAATTAATTCATAAACTTTGATGTACATAATGTATTATTTTACATATTGGTAGTGCTTATTAATAACTTAGATCGTTAGTGGCTGTACCCTCGAGGGGGGTTGAAGTAGCGTAAAATTATTGTCCCCCTAAGAGGGTATAAAAGTCCCACGTCATTCAAAGTATTTCAATGCATACCAGACCTTTAAACGTAGTATTTTCATCAATTTAACTTTAGGCTTCACTGGTCAATTATCGCCAGTGACTGTAGGGTGATATAACTCCTGCCGGGTTCCATGCAGGAAGCAAAGGTACTGTAAGTCCCCATGGTCCCTAGTATGGTGATCACCCTTCAGTGAATGACGATCTCTAGCCCATTTTGATTTTGGGTTGTTCATTAATACTTACTGCTTTTTAATATATATATAAAAATATGTATCATTAATGTATAACTTCTCGTCACGATACGGCTGAAATACTACCGATGTGACGTTAAATATTAACTCACTCACTTGAAGTTGAAAGTACATATTTCTAACTGATGGTGAGTGAGTGAGTGAGATGGTGAGACAGTATTTCAGTTATATCACGGTGTGTCAGCGTGAAGGGGGAGAAAAGCTGAACTGGTGCAGGTTTCAAACGTTTACCACTTCGGTGAAACCCACGAGTAGGGGTATGGTGCCGCAAACCTACAAACATAATCGGGGTGAACAGGCAATTGAGTGAGTGAGTTGGGGTTAACGCCGCTTTTAACAGTATTCCAGTTATATCACGGCGTGTCAACTTAATGTGGGAGGAAAGCCCGAAGTGGTGCAGGTCTCGGACGTTTTCCACTTCGGTGAAATCCACGAGCATGGGTATGGTGCTGACAAACCTAAAAACATAATCGGAGCCAACCGGGATTCGAACCCACAATCATAGGTTGCCGGCGTGTCCAAGGGACGCAACTCTGCACAGCAAATGGCGGCGCCTTAGACAACTGGGTCACCCGTGCCCCCGAAAGGACAATTGAGCATACAATAATAGGTTTCTGGCGTGCGCATTGCGCCACCTATATTAGTCGCTATAGTTGTGCAATAAACTTGTATGGTGAGGTAAACCACTTTCCACATCACCTCGCCTCACACAGGAACAAATGCTCCAGTCAAGTAAATTGCTCAGTTATACTGATAAGGGTATCGTTATTGATCTACTTGCTACGACGAAAAGGAAATGAGCAACCCTGTGTTGACAGGCAAAAGAAATTTGATAAAGTGTATGGCCCCGCGTTAGGGTTCTGGGGACAGAGACCAAGGTCCCAGAGAAACCCCATTCTACAAGGACAAAATATGACTATCATTTCAATATATCACCAGATCCTCAAAACAAAGCTTAAAAGACTATTTAGCACTATAAATATTTCAGATGAACAAATGGTCAGTTGAAGGTTCATTAGGTGCAGCAAACATTTGCGCCTATTTCAAAGTGCCTAAATTAATCATGCCTACCAATGAAGTGATAATTATGTGTCAACTACCCACTGGCAAAATCGACATTCAACAATAACTCAAGAGTTTGCAACATTGACGCTCCACTGCAATCATATTTACTCTGTTACTAAAAAGTGCTAAGAACAGAAAAATACTACTACTTTATTTGCCCGAAAGGGAACTTAGTATAAATCAATTGATGTGATGCCGGAAGCTATATGGTGACATATGTTCATGAAACAAACACAAAGAGAATTAATAACATAATATTTACACAATGACATAAAAAGAAACACTGACAATGTAGATTAAGCATACAAATAAAATTAATAAATGTGATAAAAATAATAGTTGAATGAATTATAAGCTGTTAGCAATTCTTTGTGTAAAATAGCAATGCTGCATTGAATGAATGCTTTTAATGCTCTGTTCGTTCTGAAACCGGGATCTGAAAGCGGCATCGTGAAGGTAAAAGTTTATATTCATTATAAAGGAAGTGTTCAGAGTCTGTGACAATTTTGACACATAGGTATTCAATTTGCCGCTGGCCAAAAAAAGGAAGACTATCTGAAGGGACTCCAGATATTTTGATGGCAATGTTAATTATTTTAGATAATTTGTTTTTGTTTTAAAGAGAAAGAGAACCTTAACAACTGGGCATGCAGAAACACAGGATGCTTTGACAAAATATTTGTACAACTGAACAAGAGTAAAATTGCTGTCATTAAAAGTCGTTTGCTTACGTGAACTATAGAGACGTTGTTTTGACTTTTTTTGTAAATTCTATTGGTATTTTTCTGTAAAGGTAAATGCATCATCAATAACAGTTCCAATGTTATTTTATTGAGTGACGACTTCTTGGTGGAATTATCTATGAAACACACTGAATTTCAGGCCTTTTAACTCTCAAGTTCAAAATGTGAACGTGGCGACGTCAGTTTTGAGATTTACAAAATTTGTATTATATATACGTGCATTTGTTATTGTTACTGAATTAGATGTAACAACACGTTTTTCACGTTTTGCATGATCTCTTGTGTAAGAGTAAGGGGTACAAACATACTTAATTTGGTAATAGCGAGCTACTTCACACAATCCGATATGTCGTGAAAACGTCGTTTGTTTTTGCGTGTAGGGATACATTTGCTTTGGGTTACAGCCGCTAGAAATTTCGAAGGTGGTATGGGATTGGATCGAGAGCCAGTATGATTATGGGTATAAAGGAGAATAACTTACTCGAAACTCGGAATTAAATAATCTGTGAGATTATATCCCTCGGGATAGATAAACCGTAATTCTCCTAGCTCGTTAGTTATTCACATGTAACAATCACTTTCAATGTTTATTATATTTTATCAAACGCGAAGGCAGTGTACGTTCTGCAAGTAAGGTCAGCATTGATTGAGCAATTCAAATAGAACCTTTAAATAATTCGTGAAGAATTACTATGAAGCTAGGGTTGGCTTGTCATTTAGAGGTACCTGTACCTCAATTGCTTCCGTATCATCTGCAGTGACATTGTAGGATGAGTGATATTTGCTCAGGACGTTCTTCACCAGCCACACTAACATCAGGAAACTGAGGAACAACAGAACACTCTCAATGGTCAGGATATAATTGTACCAGAGAGGACTGGATACTTCCATCAGATGACCGATGATCTGAGGGTTGACCATTCCGCCAAGACCTACAGCTATGAAGATCACGGACATGATTTTTCCTGAGAGTTGCACAAAGTCCTTCTCGATCCATGTTAGCATCGCAGGAAAACTGATTGATATTGAAAATCCCACAGCACAAGCTGTAATCCATATGAATACTGTTGACAGGTACATTCCGGCGAATATCATGCCAACCTGAGCTAGGATTAAAAAGAAAAAGAATAGACCACATATCTTTACGTGAGATACATAGGTGATGAAGAAGATGGCAGCTAGACGACCAAAGGCGTATGATGCCCAAAACGCCGATGTGATTCTTGCTCCAGTGACCTTTGTCCACTTGAACTGCTTGACCACATATGATGCCAGGAAGGACACCGACGAGTCTTCAACCTCATCCAGGAAGAAGTAAAATATACCCAGAAGGCCAAGTGTCAGAGCGAGTAGTTTCCGGGACAACCTTTTACCTTGTCTCTTCCCATCTAATGCTTTTGTAATGTCCTTATGTTTATCCTGTCTTGCAAATAAAAACACAATAAAGAACGGTAGTGACGACAGGATCGTTAGAATCCCAGTCATCAAAAAAGGCCAAATGATTCTTGTCTTAGGCTGATGATTCGATGATATATTTGATGCATTTACGAAATCCTGCACTAAATATGTTCTGTTTTCAGTCCCCATGACAGGAGATTGTGTTATGTTATAACCTCCATTTTTTCTGACGGCTAAAAACGGTTCAAGGACAAAAGGGGAGATAATTCCCCCTAACGACCATAGGAAATGTAAAGCCTGCATATAAGGTTTGCTCTCCACTCCCCACACTCGGACAAGTTCCACATTGCAACCTGAAAACATAAGTTCATACAATTGAATACACGTATTTTATCTGCATTTTAATAAAAACACATTAAGCTGTCAAAAAGAAGGAATGTGGTCACTGCCAATTTTCACATGCATGTAAAATAACATAATTTTCAAATATATCCAGTTCAACGTTAGATTTATTAATGATTACATTATGTTTCTTTATCGTTTGTTGTTTATTAGTTGATTGAGATTATTTTGGGGTACGATGCCTCGCAATCAACCAAGTCAAAGAAAATGAGCAAAAGAAACTCCAAACTCCAAAAGGAGCCAAACACAAACAATCCTAGAAATGCAACAGACATGGGTGCCGCTGAAATTCTTGCCTAAGTTCGCTAAATTTCGTGTAAAATTACTTTTTCAAATTGGGAATGAAGGTGCAGCGTGATCATAGGATGCATATGAGTGAAACTCAAACTATTCGTCAATGCACAAGGAGTTCAGAAATGTTAACAAAGACGCACATGGTAGCCTCGTGGCTAATGCGTTTGCCCGTTACGCTAAAACCCCATCTTCAATCCCAGACATAGGCAGAATGTGTAACGACACGACCTAGCACCGCACATGTACATACCGTCATTCGGTATATACATGGCACCGTACACCGAATGACATAACCTGACGTCAAACGAAGTCTACAAGCCGTCGTGTGCAGGTGTGTCTTGTATTTGCAGATGCGTCCAATGCGGGACACACGCGGCATTGATTGTGATCATGTTCATTCCATCCATAGAGACCTGTCATGTTGTGTTACAGTGACTGCAAACTGACAACGTCATTTCTGTCTTTGTGTGTCCTGTATTTTCGCTGTCTGTGCATTATAACTCTTGCATTGCTTTCTATTTCATTTCATGATTACAAACACTATTTCTTGGCCCACTATTAAGAAAATGCAAGTATGCTTCAAGAGTGCAACCTATTCAGCACAAATGAAATCGGAAAGTTGAGGAAGTTCTAAAACATGTGCGCTCTAATAATGAGGACATTCAAATCCCACCCAACTAATAAATACCCTACGCTTTCTCCTCCTTATATCTGCGTCCTCTGAAAACTATATCTGTATGTGAGTACATATTATGTATGTACGTCTACGTATAAATTAGGTGCGGTCGGGTAGCCTAGTGGTTAAAGCGTTCGCTCGTCACGCCGAAGACCCGGGTTCGATTCCCGACATGGGTACAATGTGTGAAGTCCATTCCTGGTGTCCCCCGTCACGATGTTGCTGGAATATTGCTAAAAGCAGCGTAAAGCAATACTCACTCACAACGTATAAATTAACACTATGTATATATTTATGCCATCAATAGATACTGCTGGGAGTGAAAAATATATACTTTGAATTGACAAAGAAATTCAAACGTTACTAGGTTGAAAACTGTCGCCTGTTGTGAGATAATCATTGATACGATGTATGTGACATGGCTTATGGTACCCGTTTCAAACCATCGAATAATTATTTCTTTTGTTTTTTTGTCTTAGCCACCATCTTTTGCCCGGCAGTTTATATCTCATGCAGCTGAAAAGGTTTTGTGAATAAAGTTCCATTCTGTTCTAAATAGGAGGCAAAACACAAACCTGTTTTAAATATGCCAAGGAAGAACTCATGTGCTACAAACACGGCAATCATAAGCCAGTAGGGCGTACACAGTGGTATGACAGCGACAGTCAGTCCATGCCCGGCCATCGAGATGAACAACGACAGGTATTTATTACACCGGTCATAGATGGCTCCACCAGCAACGGCTCCAACCAGAGCGCCAGTAGCAGCAGCAGTGAAGAAGGCGGAGCCTTGAGACAAGTCCGTCCCCGTGATGAGCTGTAGGTCCAGCAGTGATGGCCCTCTCTGGCCATTTATCCAACCCTGAAATCAGAAGAGGTTTTAGACAGTGAACGAAATGCATCCTCAATTTTGCCATCGTTCTATAGGCTGATAGGAAGGTGTTAATGTAATGTGAAAAGCTGTAGGTCCAACAGTGAAGGCCCTCTCTGGCCATTTATCCAACCCTGAAATCAGAAGAGGTTTTAGACAGTGAACGAAATGCATCCTCAATTTTGCCATCGTTCTATAGGCTGATAGGAAGGTGTTAATGTAATGTGAAAAGCTGTAGGTCCAACAGTGAAGGCCCTCTCTGGCCATTTATCCAACCCTGAAATCAGAAGAGGTTTTAGACAGTGAACTAAATGCATCCTCAATTTTGCCATCATTCTCTAGGCTGATAGGAAGCTACTGATGTAATGCGATGAGCTGTAGGTAAAACAGTTAAGGCCCTCTCTGGCCATTTATCCAACCCTGAAATCAGAAGAGTTTTTAGAAACTGAACGAAATGAATTCTCATAAAATTAATTTTGCTATCGTTCTCTAAGCTGATAGGAAGGTGCTGATGTAATGTGAAAAGCTGTAGGTCCAACAGTGATGACCCCCTTTGACCTATGGTCACTCCGCGGAGAGATTCCAGACTGTGAAGAATGAAACGCATCCTTTTCCAAAACGAATTCTCGTCTGGTAAGATGAGGTTGGCATTCAAGATTATTTCAGCAACGTGCATGGCTGCTTGTACTGGTCCGGACTTCTGTCAGATTTATAGTGCCAGCCCACTAAGATACCATATCTCGTGGAGATACCACTCAGACACATTATACTAACTCCCAGCCAACCAGTCCTTTTCTTATCTTCTAACGTATTTTGCTATGACGCCGTCAGGGGATAGAACCACCGACCTTCCGCTCCCCAGGGCATACGCTCTGTCCACCAGACCACGGAGGTGGTACACGTCATATAGACTAATATGGCAAATGTCTTAACATAAACGCTCTCACTGAGACGGTATTGCGAAGTACAACAAAGATGAGACGAGAAATGGCAGGACAGATTGTCTATACAGGGCAACATGATTATCAATCACTGGATTGTCTGGTCCAGACTCGATCATATACAGACTGCCGTCATATAGCTGGAATCCTGCATTAAACATCAAACTAACATGGCAAGGTATTATTAAGACATGAGAATAGTGTTATTTAAAAAAAAAAAAAAAAATTATTGCGTAGAATTGAATTGTAAGGTAATTTCTGATGATTGGTTGTGGCAGAAATTATGACGAGCTGGCAGTGGTATGCGACAGCCGGGGTGCGGAGAGTTACCCATCTATTAGGGCAAGTTTCAGGGACTGACTACATGTTTCGAGATGCTTCCCTTGGTTACAGTTTCTAGAAAGCTGGTCGTGCCTGTATAAGAGAGAGACGAGGGCGATTCAAAGTCTTCTACGATCTGAATTGCGACGTAACTATGCCCAGTGTTGACGGAATACCTGTCTCTTGTCGACTGTTCTGCCTGCTTCCAACACTGGTTCCTGGATTCAAGAACGGAGCAGGTTCACAACTCAAGACTGTGACAAATTCAGTGCAGTGACTTGTGTAATAGGGCCTATTATTGTTGGTGCTGCCACATATTTGACCCATTGTACTGCCTTTATGATTGTAAACCTAATCCTGTGCGTAACAAAACCTCCAACAACTGCATACCACATACATGACTTTGCCTCCAGCTAACATTATAAGGAACATATAAGTGAATAGTTGAGCAGATAACAGATGACATAAGCACTGAAACTCGCAAGGTCGGTAACCTGGGGCTAACTACATGGAAAAGGAAATAAAACGTTAGTCGCTGAAGACACAGGATGGGTGCAAAATTTCCATTCAAATGTCTATTTTTCTATCAACTTATGAGTTTTGACTATTTTCACAGCAAATGTTCACGGTTGCTGTCATTCTAAGTCTAACTCCTTTATGAAATTCTCTTAGATATTCTTGAAAGCCAAGAAAGAGACATATTGCTTTCAAAATCGCCTCAGTTTAAAAAAGTGGTCACCGTAGTCATGCAATTTCCATAATTATCCAACCTACATATGTACCTATACCACGGTCATGAGACATTCATAAGTTATTTTACCCACATATATCATAGTCTATACACGTACATGTTAATTTATGGGCCATTTGTTTCAATTAACGTACTGGGACGCTAGATTTACTGATCACATCGGCCCAACTTCAATCTTCACCTTCACCTTCAGTAAAATAACATATAGTCAAAGGTTAATGTTAAAATAGATCCTGTGAACCACCCGCGTTGAGGATAAAATCAAAACATTGGTACCCTACACCATTCTATAAAATGTCCTGTTCATAACTGGAAGGGGTGAGAAAACATGTACAAGATGATATGAAAGAATTCGGTACTGACAACATAATATCTGTACGATATACATATACATACATACATACATACATACATACATACATAATATTATATATATATATATAAGAATTCATAATGCGTGCCTGATGTGACGTTACACATATGGCCTGAAGAAAGCGCTCGCCTACAAAAAGGATTACTTTAAAAGTCTTTTTATATACCTGAGATTTTAAGTCATGGTTTGCCATAAAAAGAGCTTGAGATCGTGTTTCAGTTTCCAGAAGGCTGGCGGTACCTATATAATTAGCGTGAGGCGAGGGAGCTTCGAGGCCTTCGACGACCGTCTTATCTACATCGACTTATTGCATGCTACCAAATCTCTGTTTCCTGAACTTAAGAACAGAGCACTCGCCTCATTCAAGATATTCGACTTGAATTCGACAAAGGCAAAACGAATTGGGTCTCCAATATCAGATATTTATCATTTTCATGTGGCGCAAGATGTAGGGGATACAAATTTGTTCTTATACTCCTTTAAAAAAAAAGGTTACAGGATATGTATAGTCAAAACTGGCACGATAGTATATCTTCTTCTTGTTTCCTTAGCCATTACAAGGATATCAAATCTGCTATAGAACCAGAGAAGATATGATAAATCGCTTGTTAGGGCATTATGTAAATTCAGAGTGTCATTACACAATTTCAGTGTAAATTTTAGACGTAGATGTGAAAAAAGGGACGGTGAAATGGGTATCTGTAAAAACTGCCAATTAGGATAAATTGAGGTTAAATTTCATGTTTTATTAGTATGTGATAAGTATGAACATCTTAGAGAAAAGTATATTCCAATGTATAACAATAGGCATAAAAACAAGATGTTAATGATCAGTCTTATAAAATCCAAGAACTCTGCTGTTATACGTTCATTAGCCATATTGTTAAAGCATATATTCTGTCAGATACTTTTTATAGATCATGTATGTCACCTGTACAATGGGCCATGTGGCCTAAAATACCGAATAAAATATCTATCTATCTATCTATCTATCCATCTATCTATCTATCTAATTAAATGAGATTATTAAGGTTAGTCTATATACTATATGATGTTCATTGCAACGGTAATGAATGCAAATGGTTTTGGTTTTGTTTATAGAAATTGTTGTTTGTGTCAAACATAGTCATGCACCAAACTTTCATGCAACACAAATTTAGTTTTATTTTAGTTATATCTTTTAAAATAAAATAAATGTGACAGGGCACTATGTTTTTAGTGTTTATTAGTAGAACTTCCAAGATTCAATATATTTTCAGATTTTCCTGACAGAATATTCTGAAGTGAGGGTTTCTGCAGAAAACTGCTCGTGTGCCATTGGACAGAGCCAGTGTTGTGGACATCATTATAACTACATGTAAGAGCATGGTGTGATATAATATAAGAGCATTGTGCGATATAATATAAGAGCATTGTGCGATATAATATTTGCAGCTTCAAACGATTTGATAATTTCTTCTTTGAGATGTTACAGGATATTCTTCATGAGTTGGCCTTGGAAACCAGATGCTAGACAAACAACTGTCCACAGCTTATTGATGGTGCCAAGGTCTGCAGTTGAACATTGCAGAGTCAAATATCGTTCTAGTAATCGAGCTGGTCACATGGGCAGATATCCTAGCACAGTCTCATTTCGAAATATGACCTCGGGGTCACGTATAAATATTATGGGACTACGGGACCAGTCGCCCTAATACTAACATTCACAGCCGAGACTTCTTTACGGTTACGGAAAGGAGAGAGATTGCATCAACCAATGACTGTTGTTGGTCAACAATGGTGTCTGGATTACTTACATATGGACGGGTATTCACACGTTTATCTCAAACAATATGGACAACAATGTGTTGCGATACGAGTCTCTGTACACGTTGTACCTTATATACACAATGGTTTTTTGCAAACACCAAATATGTGTCCTTGTACACCTGTGTCTTTTTTCTTTCTTTTTTTCTTTCTTTTTTTTACTTTTTTTTTTTTTTTTTTTAAAACGTCCCGTAAATATTCCGGGGTAGAATAGGGCTTCAGCAACCCATGCTTGCTGTAAAAAGTGACTATGCTTTTCGTAAAAGGCGACTAACGGGATCGGGTGGTCAGGCTCGCTGACTTGGTTGATACATGTCATCGATCCCAATTACATGGATCGATGCTCATGATGTCAATCACTGGATTGTCTGGTTTAGACTCGATTATTAACAGACCACCGTCATATAGCTGTAATATTGCCGAGTGCGGCGTTAAAAAACAAACCAACTGTTTTTTTACACACTCGGCATTATAACAGTTGTATGACGTCACTCTAGTAATAATCGACTCAGACAAAAACAATCCATTGATTAATGTCACGTTGACACACACTCATTATATTCATAAAATGGCATTTTCACTGTCACCAGGTTGTGCAGGAAACGGTGTGTGCCTCGTATATAATCCGTCTTCAACCACACAGAAAACATACCAGCAGAGACCGTGTGATTTGTGTCATGGCCTCTGATACAAGCTACTGAACTGTACAACTGTATTCACTGAGCGGATATACCGAGACGCTGCCTGACTGATAACGTCGTGTTGAATGCCTTCTGTATCTAGGCACACTCACACCGCT